AATTTTGACTTCATTCCTTTAAGTCGCACACTCAATCCTTTTTTGGTTGCACCTTTTTTTCACACGTAAGGTGTTTTTGATTAGGTATTAGTAGCCTTACCACGACATGTTAGTATTTACAATAGAAGTATAATATTACACAAATATAAACTCAGGTGTTAGTAGATTTTATTGGTTTTGTATTGACATACCGTAACAAAGTAAATAATTTATGACACTTAGAATGTAATGTCTACTAATGTATATATATATATATATGTATTCCTATTGGATTGTTTTTCCATTCTTAGCAAGAAGAACCTAGTTTGTGCTAAAGACTCTTCATTTTTAAATATTTAATACGGATAATATTCAAATGTAACGGATTAGCTGAAGCAGTATTCACGTTTTACAATGACCGCTATATATTTATGAAATGATTTTTTGAGGTTGTTTACTTTGTACTTTAAGTTACATATGTAAGGACACACACACACACTCTGTCCAGGTAAGAACAACAATTTCATGTATTATCAGCTAAATAACAGTGATTGACAAGAAGGAGATTTGAGTGTTTATAAACAAAGAGTTTGACGGGGATTTAACACAATATGTAAGTTGATGTTTTATTTACCATATGAACTGTAGCATTTCTTGTTGTCTGTCTTTGGTATGATGTTTATAGCAGCAGTCTGATCTTCCTGCAAGAACGACACCTTGCTAGACACCAGCTGTCGTAATTCAGTGTTAAATCTGCAGAAGTCCAGGGAAACTAAATTAAAACTTAAATTTACACTCAAAATTTATGAGGTTATTTTAAAAACTGTAATATAACGTAAAAGAACAAAGCTTTGCTTAAGCGACTCCTATTGGCCATAACATCAAATACGTTTTAACCCTCTCAGTTGTTAAAACAATATATATTTCGATATTTTGAATGTAAATCGTGATTGTGTTGTATGTGCGTTTGTTCTTATATATAAATATTATTTAAACATTTGTCAAGATTTAGAAAATAAATAATGTTGGGAACAAAAGCAAGAGGGGCAATTAAGAAACACAAAAGTGTAAGATGGCAGAAAAACAAAATATAACTGTAAAACAAGAAAAGCTTTCATCTGACAGAAAAGGTGCTATGTTAAAACAATGAAGGAAAGGATATACCAGTGTGGAGACTGGGTATGGTTTGGTATGCGTCAGCAGCATGAAAGTAGCTTGGTTCTGTCTGGACTGGATCTTTTCTTGTGATCTCACAAGTTTGTCCATTAAAACATGAGTTACAGCAGTCAAGAAACGCGTATAAGCATGTGACTGTAACTGTTTGTTTGTCGTTAAGTATAAAACTTCACAATGGGCTAATTCTGCTGTGCCCACCGCGAGTTTCGAAATCCGATTTTTAGCGTTATAATTCCTCAGATTTAACTCTGAGCCACCGAGTGGATAACATTGTAATTACAATATATCCGCGAATCCATCCTTCAAATCAGTATTATAAATATATTGGTTTAAATTCATAATGTTAGAAAAACAAGTAGGTTCAATGAATCAGTTTAACACAAAAATACGATACCTTTTAACCCGAGCGCTTTCGCAAGTGCTCGGGTTATAGGGTATCGTATCTTTGTATATTTGTTTTAAAATAATCCAAACATTTATAATTCTAACAAAACCTCCAAGATTTATTTGGTTTCAACAAGCATACTACAATGGAACGTGTACACCTAGAACGCTACATAGAAAATAACACAGTAAATCTGTGTAATGAGATTGGTCGCCAAGTAACAATTCTTGTGCATTCCCGCCAAAATTGAAATATGGTTGGTCATGTCGTGCTGACTTAGCATTCATGCACAAATATACAAGCATACAGTCCTTCCACGACAGATTTCTAGATAGTTCGTTCAAATACTTCAAGAAAAACACGAACAAGAATGATCTATTAAGCTCCATAGATCGTTATTTCATACATGATGATGATGATAGCCCTAAATATCTCCCCCCTCCAAATTTAATATCTATCACAAGAAAAAGGACACCTATAGCTAGCATTTAAATATATCACTTATACTAAGATATCAAAAGTGTAGTTAAAGGGTAACATAAACGTCTAATAAGTTAATCAAGTAAAAAGTGTTTATATCACCAACGGAGCTACTTGTGAAGTGCAGAACTTTTACACAACTACGGTGTAAATGCTACAAGTTTTACATTTATAGACATGACCTTGAAAAGGGAAGAAAGGATCAGAGCAATTACTCGCGTAGTGTATGAACCCTGATCTGAAGATGTAATCCATATAGCAAACTCTATAAATATACCATCAAGGAGGCAGGAAGAGATTTCCACTGCACCTGACCCTCTCAGCTCGCTCAAACTAGAACTAAAACCCGTCTACGACTAAGAGTCTGACTTGTCTTAGATTGATGGTCATTTGTGGGTTGAAACTCTTGGTCAAAAAATACGCATGCGAGGAATACATCAAAACCATAAGAGGCCTTATCAACCATGTTACAGATACCGAGCAGGCGATGTCAATGACATTTAGTCCCCCGGTAGGACAGCGGTAAGTCTTCGGATTTACAACGCTAAAATCAGGGATACGATTCCCCTCGGTGAACACAGCAGATAGACAGCGGTAAGTCTTCGGATTTACAACGCTAAAATCAGGGGTACGATTCCCCTCGGTGAACACAGCAGATAGACAGCGGTAAGTCTTCGGATTTACAACGCTAAAATCAGGGGTACGATTCCCCTCGGTGAACAC